CGTATTAACGGGGTTCCACTGTATGTTATTTGTTGTAACTGGTATTGACATAAATTAATATATTGCCGACATGGAACAGAAAACTGGGCGCTAGCGTAGTACGCGAAGGCTCACGATTAGTACGTTTGTAAAAAGATACGTAAACAACTCATCACAAAGTCTGCATTGCCCACTTACACGCACGCGCACTTCTGAGATATGATATAGTCATTTCAAATGTACTGAAGAGTTCTCAACTAGTATCTAACCAACCAAAAGGTAAGCCCCATAATAGTGTCACTCTGGATCCATTAGACTTTGAGTCTATTAAAAACAGGAATCGGAACAAAAACAATGTCCATTCGTGTTGATTAAATCAGCAGATGACGTGACGAGGGGTTCTCTGGCGCGTTACATGAGTTGGCGTGACTCACGCAAACCTCAGACTTTTCTGTGACTTCTCTCTGCGCCCGGTATGCAGCTTTTCAAGGTTCTTGTTTGTAAATGCGTTGTTGTTTTAGGCAAATACGGAACCCAAAGCACTAGGTTAGCGAGGTTACCTCTGTTGGTCTGCATAGCATCTGCCTCACTGTCTTCCTAACTGCGGTTCGAAGCTCGCGAAAGCGCCAGCAGAACAATATTGGATTGACGGATGAGTTCATGTATGCCGTGGTGTCTGTTAAATTCCATGCGCTAGTCAGTTGAATGCGAGGAACACCAAACATTACCATGGCAGTAAACAACGGTAGATAACAAAAAGTCAACACGATGTAAAACACGAAAGTGTCCATGGCACGTTTTATCGATCGCTCCGTGCTCTGAGAAGTTTCAGTATTTTCTACAGCCTGTCTTTGAGCGTGAATTTGTAGGTGATGATGACGAACAATCCTGTAGACTCGGATGTAACAAAAAGTTGAAACTAAAAGACAAATGACAATACAAACAGCTGCAGAAAAATAATACGCCTTCTCTTTCCAAAACGTTGAAAAGGAGATGACAAAGATAACGATCCAAAGAGTTACTGAGGCATATAGAGCGCGATGCGCAGTCATCAAGTTTGGATATCTCATGTGATAGTGAAGAGCCAAAAACCGATCCACACTTATAGCTGTCATTGTCGCGAGTGACACTCCACATGCACAAAACGACAATGGGTTCACCACTTCGTAAAGGAAATCGTTTTCCATTAATTCAGAGGCAATATAAAGCGGCTGTACAACAAACCCAACTAGAAGGTCAGAAAAAGCCAGACTGCAGAGCAAAATGGTGGACGGCGAGCGCAGATGAGGAGTTCGCGAGATGGCGGCAACCACCAGAATGTTGCCGATAATGGATATGAGTATCAGTGGTACATTCAATACACAGTTTATGATGACAACAGTTTCAGGACGAAAATTATCGCCACAACTGCCTGAATAATCAGTATCAGATTGGTTTGCCATTCTCGCGTGCGCTGGGGCACACTGCGCTGTTCAGATCCAGTACTTGATGTGTACAGCTGGGCAAATGTGATTCCTGATAACTTGACGATATGCTCAACACATAAACAAAAAAAGCCTGCCGTGTTTAACCGATGTAGTTTAACTGGTCGTTAACTTTAGCTCCTAAACGACTTCTTCAGTAGTGAGCGACCTATACTTCTACGAATTTCGATTGTTCAATGTCCGTACAGGAGAGACTTCCTCAGATGTCACCGGTTAATAGAACAAAAGGTAGCAATTACGGATGTAAAACAAAACATCAAGGCGAGCAGCATGGTTCTATTTAAGTGATCAGGAAATTAATTTGTACGATGAAAGAAGGCGACATGTGATGTGAGTCAGCTGCATTTTTGTAAAAATATTATTGCAGCATGTTGCATATTGCAAAACCAAGAGACGATGATCTACTCTCGTGATGTAAAACCCATACACCAAAAATCGAGTATTAAGTTTGACTCTTAGAACAAGTAATTTTGGGCCTAAAGCAAATAACTTCTTTTACCACTTTGTAGTTTTAAATTAAACCAATCTTTTTGAACAATTTCCTGTGAAATTTTAATCTAAAACTGCTGTCAGCTCTCAAGCTCTCATTGACAATGTTTGATTTGTCATATTTTACGCTCTATGTGTCTGTCTCTGTCAAGTTTGATTTTGTTACGATCAAGACATGCCAAATCAACCTCTCTTTGGCATGCTATTGATATTCGGTTATAACTTACAGTTGGACTTTGTAAAGCCCTTGATGAAACAAATAAATTTCGGGAGAAATTTTAAAAGTTTGGCATAGAGCGGTTTTCAATTGAGTGCCGTAAAACCAAAACCAAAGTAATCAATCTAGCCAATCACAAAAGGACACAGACAAAACAGTGAACCATTAAAAACTCGAAGTAATTACATGCAATCATTACATACAGCTGTCTCCAAGCGCGGGAAAACGCGTACGGGAGAGTCAAAAGTGGTTTTGGTTTAACGTCTGATTGGATGAGAAACTGGCGCGAGTTTTTTTAAGCCAATCGTGTAGAACCAATCACTTTTCGACACTCCCTTATTGATAACAATGTTGCATTAACCATGGAAATGACGCAGAAGCCACAAAGAAATTATTTATCAAATCCCTTCATGTAACCAACAGTCAGTCACTCGGACAAAGATGTTAAAAGGACAAACTAGGTCCATTGTCAATAGATTTCGAAACCTTTTACATTAATTTCGCTCGGTTCAGTTAATCTGAATAAGTTGTGACAAGACCATTGCGATGTCATGTTACAATGAACTGATCATGATTTCCATCTGGTTATGCTGAGAATTACTCGTCCACTATATGAAGCCAGGAGCCCATCACTCAGAGTGTGCAACTCCCATACTAAGCCTACGTCACGGCAGTTTTACAGACCGGTCTATTTTAGACTTCTTTTCCCGCAAAATAGGTCAGTTCCAGTCTACATGAGCGCAAATCGGTAAGGAGAAAAATAGCTTACCTCACATCAGGAGCCCATCACTTCTGACGTCAGTTAAAAATTAAGTCCGTGCTTGTGATTGGTCCCTGAGGTTCCTGCGGAGGTGTGAATTCGCGGTAAATTTAAACTGAAAATAGATCGATCTGTGAAAACGCCGTGACAGGAATATGGGGTAGTTGCACTCTCCTAGTGATAGGCTCCTGATGAGGCCTAATGCTGTCATAGTTTGGAGAAAAGAGAACAGGATTTTTGTAGGCAGTCTTAGAGGAAGCTAAAGAAAGCAGACACTAAAGTGAGGGAATTAGAGAGGAAGGACAGAGAAGCCGAATGAGAAATAGAAGACAGCGTTAAAAGGGACTGCTGGGTAAAGGATACTTGGGAATTACACGGTAGGAGGAATGCAATCAAAGGGGAAAGTTGAAGAAATACAACTGGTCGACGGAAGATGGAGAGTTGGGCGGGAGAAGAGATGGATGGATGGTCGTAAGGTGGGAATGAGGAATTGTGGACTATTAGGAAGGGGGAGACATCCTAACTCTGGAGAAGAGGGAACAGGAAGTTGGAAAGGTGAGCAGTGGCTTTAATAGTAAAGAACGGTTATCCTGAGACATAAATTTATCGCTAAACTACTTTGGTTTTAAAACTATGAGACTGCCTTTAACAAAATCCTTCGGTGTTCACGGGATTTCTATGTCCCTCATCAAATTGCTCACACAAAAGATGAAGACATCCTTACGGTGATTGTGACTGAGAAAACGAACCAGAAAGAGCACCGAACTTTTCAACACCACCGAAGTGAAATTATCCGAATATTGCCATTTTCAGACAGAACATGAAATATTTCAACTTCAAAAAAATGAAACCCGAACGGGAAAACATTTTCCATAACAAGCACGAACCCAACATTAGGGAGTTAAAAAGCAAACCACAACGGCAATGGGTGGAACGTGGCTAGAAAATGTTTCATGAGCAGTACCATGGCTGTGCACCTGCGTTATAATAGCTGTGTTATTACAGTTGAGCCTGCGGTCCAATATTCTCTTGTTTAAAAAGGCATACAAACGAGGCGAAAGGGTCAATACAAAGCAGAATTGACCCTTTCGCCTCGTTTTTATGTCAAACCGCTGAAAACTGTAATAACAGCTATTCTTGGTACATTTCTATGCCGTTCTCTACAAAACAAGAACATCAAATGACCAGATTCGTCCACACTACGCCGGAGAAATTTGAAAAGGCAGCTTTATTTCTACGGTTAGGCCTACCGTCTACAATAATCCACCACGAAGACGGAACTTTTCAAAAACGCTCTTCAAACCGGAGGAATTTGAAAACGCCGGCTTTGCATTTTAGTCTGGACGGAAAACATTTTGAAAACGGAGCTTTTCGGAAACGATGACGTCATGATAATGATGTCATTTTACCCACAAATCCAAAGTGACCGGTGATTGTTGCGTTTTTACAATTATCCAGCGTAGTGTGGACGGAAAACATTTGATACAAACGCCGTTTTCAAATTTCTCCAGCGTAGTGTGGACCGGGCCTTACTCTAAAGAACGTGAACCCCGACGGTCAAGTTTTAAATTTCTTTCTCGAATTTTACCGCTGCATACATATCTGTTTTGGGATAGCTCTGACAGTGATACTCAAACTGAATGAATATTACTGTTACCGTCGTGGTTGCTTCAACTCCCTACTCTTAAATTATCTAGTCTTCAATAGCGGATCTATATTCACTGAGGAAGTACAACTGATTTGTTATGGGACACCTGTGCGTCACCATTTTTCCTTTAAATATCAGAAGGTAACTCAATAGACTTCTTCAGCTTGTTCAATGTCTTCTGGACTTTTAAAGCCTTCAAACGAGCGGCAGGTTGATTTACCCAACACTCTGTCATAAGCTTGGCCATTGTTTGAAGAGGCTGTCGACAAAAGAAGATTTCTGTCAAGATTTCCGTTTATTACAAGCTAAAACGTCCAGGCCCGGGTTGTTCGAAAGGTGGATAACGCTATCCACCGGATAAATCGCTCTCCAGCGGATAGCGTGGTTTGTTTTGTCAACACTTATCCGCTGGATAGCGATTTATCCGGTGGATAGTGTTATCCAGTCTTCAAACAACTGGGACCAGTAAGACATTAATTGTCTAACGTTTTTCTTTCCCAAATTCCTGACTTTGAGTTGTCTTTGACACTCTGATGATGTCAATATGAGCAAGAGGACTACAAAACACCTATCACACCGATCTTTAAGGACGTGAGACATATCTACTTGTTTGGCGTGTTTTTTTTAAGTACTATTTCAAAAATGAGTGCGAGGGTTTCATCAGGTTTCCAAACGCGAGAAACATTTGAAACCACGAGGCCGCAGGCCGAGTGGTTTTATTGTTTTCGAGCGTTTGGAAGCCTGATGAAACCCGAAGCACGAGTTTTTGAAATTACTTCTCCAACAAAAAAAATTAGTTTAAATTATCATTTGAGTAAGTTTTCTCAATTCAAATATTATATTTGAGACGTGAAATGTGATTATATCACCTAATTGCTGCTCTGTGACAATTTTTGAATATTCATCAATGTCACGCTGTTACCTAGTTGTTTGTCAGTTCTGAGCGCACACGTTGCTTCGTAAAGCAAATGGCAGAGTGCAGATTTAGACCTCCTAAACTCGCGAAGAAGAGGAAAAGTGTGTGACCAGCGCTATTCCGAGGTAACGTGTGCGTCTAGTCTGTTAAATGCAGGGGTAGATAGTAAATTAGTACGCCTTAGAACTGGGAATCTCTAACGTTAGTGTCATTTTAGGTGTGGAAGTGTACAGCAAGGTTGAAAGCGAACCAAAAGACGAGGTCGGCACCATTGAGCGAGAATTTAAGTTTAGAAAAAGAATGGCCTTTCTGTTTTGGGGAGTTTAATAACTGTACCGTTACATTTAACGTCAGCAGTAAATTATTTAGGTTTAAAGTTTGTTTTGTAAAATGTGTGATTAAATAAAGTTGTTTTTCGTCATGTGTTTTTCTTGCTTTATCAATATGCAGAGTAAGAAAATTTGCATCCGTGTTTGAAATTATTTCCAAAGACGCCGTGGTCTCATTGGGTTTCTAAACCCATCCACCTGACCAGAATAAGGAGCTCTGGTTGGGTAAGAGCTGCGTGAATAATTAATGAGTTTGAGAATGTTTTTCTTGTCTGGTTCTTCTAGTGGAAAACCTGGTGTCAAAACTGGCATAACTACGTTTTGATAGCTTGGCAGCTAACCAAACAAGACAGTGGTTACTTCGTGAAGTCTTTCCAAACTTCTGAACCTAAGTACATCAACTGAAACCTGGTGTAATACGAAGTACATCGCACTCTCGCAAGTACTCTAGTAATAAATGAGTATACCGAAATATGATACAAAGTTTCCGTTTTACTGAAATGTCCTCCAAATGTTAAGTCAGCAGCAGTGTAGCTTAGGTAAATTAGAAGAAAATTAAAAATGAGCTAAAACTTGTAAATTACACTATTTGAGTATTTTAAGTGACAATTCTTTGTCTCGCCTTGATTCTGCCTCTACTGTCTGTTGTGACCTTTGAACTAATCTCACCTCGTCTTTAAACCACTCACTGGGTACTAATGGCCGCCTGTTAGCTGTAAGGACAACTTCCCTGACCTCTTCAAAACTTGGATCCCCAGGAAGAATATCATAATATGGTAATTGGTACTCCTCACTTAATCCAGTTTCTAAAATCAACGAACAAATGTGGTTGTCATAACCAAAACGTAAAGTAGTTTGAATGGACTTGAGCGCTCTATACTTACAGGCCTTGTTGATTTGTCTTTGATAAAAGTTTTTTGAATAGCTCTGAGCGCGGCAGAGGGGTTAAAGAAATCATGAGAGTGTGCGTGTTCGACAACAAAATGATCAGCGCGTCCAAGTAACTGAGCAATGTGGATATACATTAATATAATGTATACATTAATGTATAATGTAATTTTTAACATTTTGTAATCTATCCTTTCTCTTACAGGATATAAGTTGAATGTTTTTACTAAGTGGATTTTAATTTTCTTTCTTACGATTTGTATATGTTTTGTAACAAGCGCATTTGATCATTTATTTATAGGTTAATTTGCGCTATAGAAATATT